AATTTCACATATGGAAACTTCCATAAGTCTCGAAAGGCAATGAGCTGTCGAACACTTCCAGTCTTTTTAAGATAAGGGACTTCACTGACGGGAAAATGAAGCAAACACACTTAGAAATTAAGGAAAGTTATGAACATAAACATGCTCTGGCTAAACGAGCTAACCAAAGGGGGTTCAAAGAAGTATTAAGACCCTTTACTTCAGGACAAACTCTCTGAAATGACTCCTCCAGCACCAAATGATCCACATTAATTAGCAACTTATCAGATGAGTCATATCTAAAGATAATAGGGCCGTGTTAGTGGCGTCTATCAGTGAAGAAAAACGTTGAATTTCACATTTAGAAACTTCCGCAAGTCTCGAAAGGCAGTGAGCAATCTAACACTTCCAGTCTTTTTAAGATAAGGGACCTCACTGACGGGAAAATGAAGCAAGACTAAGCAAATGACGTGTTAGTGACGTCAATCAGTCAAGAATAACTTTTCACACTATAGAAACTTCCACAGGCCTTTAAAGGCTGTGAGCTTCCAGTGTTTTTAAGAAAAGTGACTTCACTGACAGCTCAGACGTATTTCCAGAGTTTTATCAGCGTGACTCCTCCAGTTTTTGTCCACTCATACATTTCCCCGATCCTCACAATGATGGCTTTTCAGGGAAATACTCGTCATGATGTTTTTTCTCACCTCGAAGTTGACAGACAGGTTCCTCTTCAGGGCGATTTCATACACCAGGCTGATCTCTGATTTGCTGGCGTCAGATCCTTCCTCAGACTCCTCCTTTTCCTCTGGGCTCTTGAAGAGAAGGGAAAATATCAGGAGGTCAAAAACAGAAATACTTACAAAGACTCACCGCTTCAAACTGGCTTTTAATGTGCGATTGTTGTTTTATTGCTCGATTTTAATGTGACTTTTACTATATTTAATTGTTGTCCTTTTTTACTCCAGGGTATATGCAGCAATCCTGAAGTGAAATGTAAAACCTTTTAAGACCCTTTCCATACATTTTAAGACCTCATCGCCACTTGGAGTTTTAACCGGTTACCTTGGCGACACACTTCACCTCACATTGACTATATACAGTATTGATGTCCTTCCTCCTTATCTTCCAACCATTTGGACGCAGACTTGCATTTCCCCATAACGATGTTGCTTAGCAACCGGCGTAAACGGACCTTCGCTCGCTATCGAGCAGTGAGCGCGCGATGTCCTGTTCAGATGACGTCAAACCCAACGGGATGCCATCAATAAACTACACAGAATCACACTACACACCTACGCCATGATTACATTCAGGCAGACTGTAGAACACAACCTCTTTGGACCATTCATATACTTATTGAAAACAAGCTACAAAATGTAACACCTTGGAAAATGCCCTTTAATACTTTTTAATAGCCTTCACTTTCTCTAAATTGATTTATCAACTTTTAATACTTTTTAAGACCCCGCGGACTCCCTGCACTACCCTCTGTAAAGCGACTGTAAAAGCGCCTACAAAATACATGTATTATTATCTGTTACGGCTCAAAGTAGTGCCATTTTTGGGTCAGAGGTGTCCAATCTGTTCTGTAGCACTCATTTAAACCCGATCTTTCAATGAAAACAGTAAGATAATAGTTTGTTGTGGTGGTGAAGCAGTGTGGGATCATGGGAGTTGGAGTTTCTTAGTTAGTTTTCATGCTTCAGGAGGATTGTTGCAGTAAAAAGTGTGAATAAAGCAGTTTAAAGGGTTAACATCTGAGTTGACGCTAACGTTAGCTCAGCTTGTTTCTCTGATAGCTTCAGATACAGACGTCCAATCAATAAAATCCTTCATCAGAGTTAAAAAGCACCAAGATGTACAAAGTGTAGGGTAAAGAAGTGGCAAGTCAATTTCCGACAGCTGATGCATGCTAAAAGGGGATAAGACGCCATTATATGAGACCAGAGGACGTTAAGATAAGTTCTCTAAGTTAAATGAATGATCAGATGTGAATGTCTGAATGCATTATGGTCTTTAGGTCTTTTATTTTTCTGCAATTCAGTGGCATGGCACCAAGGATTACTCTTCACAAACTCAGGGTGGATGTCCGCCAAGCTGCTGCGATCATTATCTGATATTGGATATTGATATTCAGTACTTCAGGATGTGACTGGTGGTCCTCTGTCTGAGCAGGAAGGCCCTGCAGAGGGGTGCTCCAGTAAACATGATATTGACTGTGTTCTAGATAATAACATTAAGAATTGTTCCTCGAGAATGAAGAAAAACTCAAGGGCTGAAATATATGTTTCAATCAGGCATGAGAAGTTGATCTGATGCGTTCAAAATGAAGAAGGAACCGAGAGTTCAGGTTCAAAAAACTGCAGATTTCTTGTTTCTGTTTGGAAACAAATCCAACTTCTTATCTCTTCATTCTTTGGTCCTAGGGGAAATACGTTTAATTATTAAGCGGCGTACATGGGAACTTAATAAAAGGCATCTTTTTGCAATCTTTATTTCACCAGAATAGACCCATTAAGGTTATTTGTTTCTGGGTCTGGGCAAAAGCAGCATGAACAACATCAACCAATGCAAACTACTGTGTGAAAATCACCTTTAATCCACATTTTAATGTCATCTACGCCTTTTCTGTTCTGGCATGTTCTTTAAGGCGTTTCATCAGACAGACTTAATCTACGAGAATGATGGTTTAAATTACTCCTACAAGTCTTGCTCTTGGTCTCTTTTACTAATAAAGACATCTAGATGGTATCATCCTCCGCACAATAAGGGGCTTAGGTGTGATTGTCTCGTGTCTCGATCTTTATCGCGTCCAGCTCTTTGTCAGATTACGTCTGAATGAATGCAGTGTTTCCCTTTGGGCTCCTTCCCGCCTATCTCATTGTGAAAACGATCCGACGAATGATTCATGCTCTGGGTCTCTTGGATTTCACAGGCTCTCCTACCACAGCGAGAGAAAGACCGCACAGTGGCAAGAGAGAGGAGTGTGTGTGTGTGTGTGTGTCATTTTTTTGTTTTACAATGATCACAAACAAGAACAGAGAGGCAGTTGTTGGTATTGACTATTTTGGGTCTCAGGGTTCCTCTAACAATCAATTATTGACTATTAACTATTGATTGATCTGACTATTATTATCCACAATATATAAAATTGATATCTTTGATTCAAAAAACCGAATGTATTCAAGAAATTCAGCAAATCTACAAATTTGAAAGGCTAAAAAAACTGCTTTTCTGACTTATCTTAATGGAAAATGACTCCAATGATCAATAGATTATTTTAAATATATATTGTTGTCAATGGACTCATCGCTTGATTGCGTATTCCTGTTAACAGAAATGTTACTGCGGGTAAAAAGTTTGTAAAACAGTAGGTAAAGTGTATACAAAAGATAAAAGCATACAAGATGCACAATATGTCAACACACACACTTATATATTCATGTATGTATTTATGTGGATCTGAAGGACCTGTTTTCATTAACGCCTCATCACTTATTCATTGTTCTCCTACTAATGTAAAGAATTCTTAATAAAGTGTGTGATGAATGGTGCGAGTCCCTTTCTCAAGGCTGCATTAACAAGCATCTCTGTGTGTGTGAAGCTCTTTCCACACACACACACACACACACACACACACACACACACACACACACACACCATGTATACATCACTTCAGGGGACATTACATTGACTTACATGCATTTCCTGGAGACTTATCCTAACCATAACCAACACATGCCTAACCCTAACCCTTAACCTAACCAAGTCTTCACCCTAAAATTAATGATCCCCCTCATGGGGACCTCCATTTTGTCCCCATAAGGGAAGCCAGTCCCCACACGTGACTATGTAAACAGATTTAGGTCCCCACAAGTATAGTAATGCTAGAACACACCACACACACACACACACACACACACACACACACACACACACACACACACACACACACACACACACACACACACACACACCACACACACACACACACACACACACACACACACACACACACACACACACACACACACACACACACACACACACACACACACACACACACACACACACACACACACACACACACACACACACACACACACACACACACACACACACACACACACACTATATATATCACGTATATCTTCAACTACAAACTTCCTCAATGTTCAGTATCAATGAGAAGGTTGATTACTTTTTATATCAATAGTTTAATCTATAAAATGTCAAAGTAGGAAGCAATGTCCCTCCCAGTTTCTAAAAGTCCAAATATATTGACCCAAATTAAACCTAGAAAAAGGCTAACATGTATTAATGTGAGATGTTTCTATCTGATGTGTGTATTTGGGTGTTATGAAAGCTCTGGTCCACTCAGCGCTGTTATTACTCAACACTGGGTTTATCAGAGGTCAGAGCACTTTGTTTTCTGCTCTCCTCACACCTCGGATGACTTTCTCTCTGATCCCACTTTAAAACTCTCCCTTAATGGAGGATTTGTGCCGCTGTGATGAACTTTTGACGCTAAAATGAATACATAACCAGCTTTCATCAGAGTGAATCAGAATCCACCTGAGCTCTAATTACTCTAATAGAGTCAAAGGCCTTATTGTCATACAATCAATAGCTAGTTTTATCAATGGAAACATGAAGTCTCCTCCAAAAATGCAACAGAAATAGACCGAAGACATTAAAAACCATCAAATAATGCAAGGAAAAAAATAAATGAAATGGTGAGAGTAATATATTGAGTAAATTATATTCATAACGTTAAATGAAACTGTTTAGTAGAATAAAATACTACTTATTGTTATATTATATACATCTGTGAACTGTTAAAGGTCCCATGTCATGCTTTTCTGGTTATTACCCGTCCCCTTGTGTTATGTAGCTTCTGCATGTAAACGGTCTGCAGAGTCACAAACCCTCAAAGTACACCCTGTAGAGAAGACCTGTCTGTGCTGCCCCAGAACGCCTCGTTGGACATTTCTCTTTTTCCATTGTTTACTTCTTGGGTATAGTGACGTATTTCGGGTATAGTGACGTAACGTAACGGCTCCGCAGATTGGTCAATTTGGACGGTTATGTCCGCGGAGCCGTTACGTTTGGCGGACTTCCTCACACACACACACACACTCGGCGGGACGTTGCAAGGCACGCTGCGAGGAGCGGGACATTGTGAGCTGGCTCACTGGTGTGGGGTCGGCGAGACAGCGAGACACCGCGGAACTCAGCCTGAGCACACACACAAACTCCCAGCCAGGCTGCGGGTGTGTGTGTGTTTCGGGCTGGGTTTAGCTGTGTCTCGCTGTCTCGCAGACGGCCACTGGGCTCACAGGGGGGGGGGGGGGGGGGGGGCAGGAGCTCCAACAAGCCGTGTAGGACAGAGAGTGAATACACATGCTATACAGAGATGCTGTGAGAAACCAATGTGAGTTTGGAACATTGAACAATGTACATCTATTTTAGTCGACCTCAACAATGGAATTATGATCAGTAGAAATGTCATGGGACCTTTAAGAGATGTATGTGCTATAACTAGTGGAGGAAAGTACATTTACTCAAGTACTTTATTGAGTATTTCCATTTTTTACTACTTTTAATTACATCTCAGAGGGAAATATAGAACTTTTTACACTAACTTGTAACTTTTTACATAAGAACATGATGTGTTTGCATGAATTATACACTAATTGTTTAATTAGCACTGACTGCACAAAGTATTGTAGTATACATTAAAAGCACCCAGATGTACAAAGTGTAGGGTCAAAATGTGGCTTAAAACTGGATAGAAAGTCCATTTACGACAACGTCAGACACTGACGGCCCGTCCACACAGCAGCGTGCGTTGAAAGCGCCACCATTCACTTTGAATGGGGTGACGTCACTTTTTGCCGAACTGCATTGTGGGAGCGTTGCTTCGCTTTGCTGGCGTGGCTCGCTGCAAAAGTTGAGCAATGTTCAACTTTTGAAGCCTCAGCAGAAGCGTCAGCCAATCGAATCATATGCCAGTACAAGTTCTAACCAATCAAACCGCTGCTTGTGTGTCAGGGGCGGGAGACTCATGTGATTGGTTGTTGGTCGAGTTTCAGACACGCCCACCGGCAAGCTTCAACGCACGCCGCTGTGTGGACGGGCCGTGACGCATGCTAAAAGGGGATAAGATGCCATTACACCAGAGGAAGCTACGGTACGTTTTCTCAGTTAAATGAATGATCAGATGGAAATATCTGTATTCAAATGTAATGTAAAAAAACCACAAAATGAATTGCAGATCAAAAGCAGCTCTTAAGATGTGAGTTATGTGATTTCAATTAAGACGGATTAATGCAAAGTGGAGTTTGAAATAGAGTATTTAGTATTCTTTAGACTGTAGTATTACTACTTTATCTCAAGTAAAGGTACTTGTTCCACCCCTGGCTCTCTGACAGGAGTATATGTTACTCTACCTCTCCAGGGTTTCCCCTCGGGCTTAACTGTTAACTGTTGTTATCATCTCCCACCGGAAATCAAATTACCCAGCATCCTCTCTGCTGGCATCACTGTGTGTTATTCAAACCGTGGCTCTGGCTCCTCTTTGGGACTCGCTTTCTCGTGGCGTCGGCCTCCATAAATGTGCCCTTTGTTCGCCGCTGCTCCTCAGTCTTGCTTTACAAATTGAGGAGCATTGTGTGTCTGCAGAACATGACCGTCTCCATGTCTCTGTGTGTGTGTGTGTGTGTGTGTGTGTGTGTGTGTGTGTGTGTGTGATCTTACACGCCTGGAAGTGTGTACGCCCTGAGGCTCAAAGTGTTCTGTAAACCAGGATCTGTCTGAGCTTTTATTCAACGATATGTAACGTAAGGAATCACATGATTAAATAAAAAAACTAGAATGAAACTGCTGCCCTAAATCTGGTGATGCTATAAAAATAAATATGATGTGTGCTGCTAAACAAAGTGCTTCCTGTCTTGAGAAAGCATTTTGTTTACCTCACAATCACTGGTTTCCATGGTATTCATGAGGCGAAATCTGTGTCATTAGTTTCTAAGAAAGAAAATCTACGGCTTTATTTAGATCAACAATGACTCAATTTACATAAATAGACACTCAAACATGACAATAAAGGATTATGTGCGACTGCTTTACTACACAAACACACCCCCCCACACACACACACACACACACACTCTTGTTTTGGTTACATAAACAAACTATAATGACAATGCAAGTCTGGTGCAGAAAACCAAACCAGAAAGGCAAAGACTAACATTGTTTTTAAGCCTCTCAAAGATGGAGATATCCTGCTTTTCTCCATCATATTAAAGTGAAATCTATAATATGATTAGAAAACAATACTTTTGAAGACGTCATCCTGGATTTTGTGAAACTGGGATGGACGTTTTTTACCTAATAAAGAACATTATGAGAAAATAATCTGCAGATGTATCCACAACTAATGATGTATAATCAGATCAATTACATGAAGCATCATTTTTGAGCTATAACGATTACTTTTCTGTCAATCAGATCAATTAA